CCGCAGGGGTGCGCTCCGGGAGTCGCGGTCGGGAGGCGGAGGCGGGCGGAGCAGCGTCCGCACCGGGAAGGCGGCCCTGCGAGGCTGGGGAGCGCGCCCAGAACCCCGCATGACGCGGAGGAGCGAGCGAGGCCCGTGCGTCACACCCGGCCCGCGACTTCCCTCGGAGGACGGCGGGGCCTTTTCTTCCAACGTAAACAGGCTTTTAGTGTTTTCCGAATTTCACCAGGAACAGCGACATAGCAGGGGGCTCAGCAGGTGAAGGCGAGCCTCCTTGCTGGGCCGCGGCACAGTCGGTGGCAGAGCGCTTTCCCGACCTGTGCGTGGCTCTGGGTTCCATCCCAGCCTCCCTGCCAAGGGAGGAAGGAAGGAGGCGGAAAGAAACCTTCCCTGCGGCCACTAAGAAGTACTGTTAGCATTTAAGAAGAAGTGACCCACGTGTGTAGGAATGCCACGTGTGACCTGGCGTGGCGCTGGGAGCACGGTGCACAGCCAGTAAGCATCAGCTGAACTGGGAGGGTTAGGCATACAACACAGGTAGTTGTATTTTTTATGAACAATTTTAACATGAAAATAAACCTCTTTAGAAAAAGCAGCCAGGTGTGGTGGTGCACGCCTATAATCCCAGCACTTGGGAGGCTGAGGAGGGAGGATCACCGTGAGTTTGAGGCCAGCCTGGGCTATATAAGAGAAAGAAAGAAAGAAAAGAAAAGAAAGAAAGGAGGGAGGAAGGGAGGAAAGAAGGCAGAAAGAGAAGAGAAGAAAAAAAAAAAGAGAAGAGAAGAGAAGAGAAAAAAAGAAAAGAATCCTCTGAAGTAATTGTTCTCTGACTGAAGATGATTTGGCCTCAAGGAGGAACTGGCTACACCTGGAGCTATGTCTACCGTCACAACCAGGCAAGCGCTGCTGTCATCTAGTGGTACAGGGTAGAGGCTAAGGACACTGCTGAGTCCTACAGTGCACAGAACAGCCCTAGACAACAAAGAATCATGGGACTCCAAATGTCAGCAGTGCTTTTTGGCTCTGGGGTTTTTGTTTGTTTGTTTTTGGTTGTTTTGAGACAAGGCCTCACTATGTAGTTCAAACTGGCCTCCACCTCATGGCGATCTTTCTGCCTCAGTCTCTCAAGTGCTGGGTTTACAGGCATCCCCTACCATGCCAGGCTTTTAGTGCTGTTATTGAGAACTATGTTCTAAAACACTCACACACACACACACACACACACACACACACACACACACACACACGCACACACACGCACACACACACATACACACACACCAAAATTCAGGCTTTGTTAGGCTATGAAGGAGACTCATTATAGGCTCCCTGCCCTGATTTGTTTTGCTTTTGTTGTTTTATTTTGTTTTTGGTGTTAAGGATTAAACCCAGAGTGTTTGCACTGAACTATATCGCTAGCCCACTTCATTTTTTATTTTGAGTTAGGGTCTTACTAAATGGCTAAACAGCCCACACTGTGTTCAAATTCAAGATCCTCCTGCCTCA